ATTCATTTGTTGCTTTTAGTTTTATATCTCACATAAGAGTGAAGTCATATTGTTCTTGACATTTTCTGTCTGACGTATTTTGCTTAGCATGATAATCTCAAGATCCATCCATGTTGTCACAAATGGCACTATTTCATGTTTCCTTATGGCAGAATAGTATTCCATTGTGTATATGTACCACATCTTCTTTATACAATCATCTATAGAAGGACACTTTGATTGTTTCCATGTCTTGACCACCATGAATAATGCTGCAATGAACATAGGGGTACATATATCTTTATGGATAAATGTTTTCAGATTTTTTGGGTAGATACCCAGGGGAGGGGTTTGCTGGGTTGTAGGTAATTCTGTTCTTAGTTTTTTGATGAAGCTCCATTCTACCACTATTCTTATTTAGGAATATTTTCTTCCAGGCTTTATCATATGTATTTTTACATTTTATTAAAAAAAACCCCTACAATTTAATATCTTTCTTCTTTTTCCACTTACTTTTTTTGTCATATATTATTAAATAAAATATGAAAGTCATTTGAGTGTTGATCTTTTTTTCCATCAAGATTAAGTCATCCTTGGAGTCACTTCCTGAAACTCTCTGTTCTTGGGCAAGTTTTTAAACATCTCTGAGTCTCCATTTTCTATAAAGCCAAATGACAGTAGTAATCCTGTCTCATAGGATTATTGTGAATATTAGAAAGTATATGTAAATTTCCTAACACAATACTTAGCACATTGGAACTGCTCAGTTAGTGGTAGCTAAAATAATAATGAATACTATTTNTTTTTTTCATAAAGGTTGTCCAATGAGCATTACTGAGTGTCTATTATCTGTCAAGCTCTGTGTGAGGTCATTGAAGTATCAAACACAAATAAAACATGGTTTTGTTCTTTGAGGAGCTTTAGACTAGTGGGAGATGGACATCAGGGAGAAGTATATACCATCTTCACAATATCTTATAGTTGGGGGAACAGAAGTAACATTCATTTTCCACCTAACTGTGCTATCACAAATATAGTATTGTAATTGCTAGCAGTTTTAAAGTTCAACTTTGGTTTTTTTTGGATCTGTTTAAAGAATAGGAAGTCACTGACTTTAGAAATTTAGCATAGAATTAAGACTGGGTGATTTACCAACAGTTTTTGTTGTTGTTGTTTTTCAAATGTTTTGGTTTATTTAACCAAAATCTTATTTTTTAAAATGTATTTCAAATTAGGGACTCCTTTCTTTTATTTCATAATGCTTAGAAAAAGGAAGACATGAATCCCATATTTGACCTGTAGTTATAGGACTTGTCACTTAGCACATTATATGAAGTTTATGTATGTTATACATCAGAACTGTATGCTCCAGGAAATTATTACCGCTTGTTACCTACTCATCAACACTAGATGGTGCTATGGCCTTACATACGTTTTCTGGTTTGAGGCTTCAGCCATCTTTTGTTTTATCAAAAGCTCTTTAAGACATTTGTTTCATTAAAATCTGTTTTAATAGTTGAAAATGCTGATGTTATTTATAAACTTTTAGTTCTAAAGTTAATGATGATTTGTTTATGGTACCTTTACTCTTATGTGGATTCTAATTACACATTGCTTCTTATAATTACAAAAACTAAGGTGTTTTCATCTGTGGAACAAAATACAAAATTTGCTTGTAAAAATGCTTTTAGAGAGAATTTTACCCTTCAAATTCTGGTTGATATGTATAGCTTAACTTAGAGCAATAATGGTCTAAGACATAAACACAGTCTTTCTGTCATATATATATATATATATATATATATATATGACATATATATAATATATGTATGAAAATGGTACTTCTGAGATTCATCTAATCCCACCACCCCCTCCAGCTTCAATGTTTCTTCAGTACTCTGTCCTTGGAGTTCTGCCTTTGTCTAGTGCTCCTTAACTACCTGTGAAATTTTCTTTGGAAACACAAAGGTTCAGCCACCTGCACCA